CACACACACATATATATATATATATATATATATATATATAAATTTTTAAATCAACCATTACTTATCTATCTTTAAATGAATATTAAGAACAAAAAATAGTGATTTTAAATTTTAGAAGAATGAAAATCAAAGAAAAATATTTTATAGGGATTAAATTTAAAATTTGCTCATTTTTATAGACAAAAAATAACGATTCTAAATTTTAGCGAGATAAAAAATTAAAAAAAAATATATATATATATATATATATATATAAAAGAGTTAAAATCAAAATATATTATTTTTACAAGGATTAAAAATATATTTAAATTATATTATATTATATACATATATATATATATATTAATTATTTTAATTTTAAAAAATAGGATATTACAATACACATATATAAAAGGGTTAAGAAGAATGTAATATGTAAAAGGTTGAATGTTATCCATATACACATACACATACACAATGTCATTTATACCCAACAAATACCCACATCAATTAGCTCTAAGACACATCTCACTAACACTCATTAATAAATTATATTAACCACTCACATTAATAAAAAAAAAAAGTTAATTACACAACAAGAATTATTAACTAAATCACTAAGGTCCAATAGAATTGATAGATAATTATTTTCCTTCAATAAAAGTTTGATTCTTTATGTTTATGGAAAATATCTTATAAAAAACAAGATTCATTTAAATAATCTCAACGTCTCGAAATAAATTAGTGTTCCACTATTGATTGAAAATATTCTTGATTTTAGAAAAACTAAATCATTAAAAAAAAATCATGAGCCCTTAGGTTGGCTAATTAGAGAGCAGAACTTTATGTACATAGCGAGCAAGCTAGGCTGGCATGGCAGGTTGAGAATGTGGAAAAGGGAAATACCAATTGAATTGATAATGATATTCATTCAGTTTTGATCCTCATGATCTGCATGCATGCAATTTCCTTATTATTCAAGCTTTGATTATAATTTAAATAATGGATACATTATGGGTGCATGCAATTGCAGGTGCATCGATCATTTGCTGCCACAAATCATACTTTTGAAGCCTAACTAAGATCAAGTACACCCTGGCGTATTAATTAACATTAACTTATTTATTTGCAGCAAAGAAACCAATGGCGAAAACCCATTGTCTTTACCTTAAAATAGCATCTTTCTCAATCTCTCGAAACAGTACTGCACTGGTGTTTTCTCCTTTTCCCACGGCCATGTTTGTCTATTTAACATAATTTTTATACTGTTAAATTGATTTTTTTTTTTAATTTCTATCTTAGTACTATGACAGTGATATCAATTCTGACAAAGAAAACCATGCAAGAACCATATCCAGGAACGAATATATGGACCCCTCCCCCCCAATTATAGTATTATCAAACTAAATTATAACACCATTATTGGTATATATGTTTGGCATGTGATGGTTTTGGGGTGAACCAAAAATTAGTAATATTTATGTGAAAATTCTATCACAATCCATTGTAATTTTGTCTTTACTAAGATTTTGAACACGATTATTGGAACATGTATTCATAAATAATTATTATTGTTGAGTGATATTTTTTTTAATATTGAAAATGACTAAAGTATAACTTAACAGGAAAGTGCATATTTTAAGATAAAAAAGGTAAAATATGTAATTTAAACATTTATAAAGTGAGAATAAAGTAATTTACTTTCATTTAAGTATCTCTCACATTTATCTATGTCACTTAAGCAATTAAGTTTAATTATATGCAAAATATATTATAAAAAAAAACCTATGCAGTGTCAACAAAATAAAAATTAGACTTTTACATTTTTATCTCTTTATTTTTATTAATTTATAATTTTGATCTCTCTGTTTTAAAATAAAGATATTTAGTCTCTTTAATTTTAAAATTATGAAATTTTAATTTTTTTGTCAAATTGACGTCTATAATCATTAAAATTTACCATTTATTTATTTTTAAGTAATATGTCATTTAATAATATAATATTTAGAGATAAAAAAAAATTAAAAAAAATCATACAAAATAAGATTTATTAATAAATAAATACTAATCACTCATTAAAATATATACAAATAAATATTTTTTTCTGTTATTTTTTTATTTTTATCTTTACAATTACGTTAGATGTCACTAAATATGACATCACTTAAATGATGATGTCATTAGAAAATGTTAAAATTTAATAATCAATAAACATCAAATTGATAGTAGTTAAGATTAAATTTTCATATTTTAAAAAATAGGAGATAAATTTTTTTTATTTTAAAATAGATAAATCAAAATTGCAAATTAACAAAAATAAATAAATTAAAAGTGTAATTTGGTCTAGAAAAAATTATGTTAGATGTAAATTTCAAAAATAATAATGATAAGGTTAACTAACTTAATATAAATGACATTATGTAATTGAAAGGCAGCTAATATTTTGACTTGTGATATTTACATGTTAATATATATAAGTAAAATTTATAATAAGTTATATACAAAAATAAATATTATATTTGAAATTATGTTTAAATATTATAGTTGAATATATATTATATTATATTATATTTAAAATTTGTAATAAATAAGTATTTTAAAAATATAAATTATATATTATATTAATGATAAAAAAACTATATTACGATACAAAATTGTTTTAAATTATTAATAATTTATTTAAAAATATTAGAATTTAATTTATAAATAAATATGAAAAAGATATATTGAAATAGAGAAGATAAATAAGTTCGTAAAAAATAAGAAAAACTCTTAAAAATACTTTTTTCTAAATAAAAACTCTTAAAAAGTTCTAATACAATATAATTATTTTTGTTTATATATAAAGATTTATATGAAAATCTTTTACATTGTTTATTGTATGAATTATTTATCTAGAACATATGATCGACCATTTTTAATGGAGCATGTAGAAATCAAAAATCTTATTTATTGGAATTGAGATTTTTTTAATAATAGATTTAATAAATATTAAATTATAATTATTAAATACATTATGTCATGTTATTTATCTAACTAAATATCATTATTTTAAATTATAAAATGATCAACTATATGGAATATGTATAATTTTTAATCAATGTTTTAATATAATAATATAATGAATATATTTTATTATTAAAAAAAATTAAGGAGTTAAGAGGTAAGGGGCCAACCCTCGTTTCCCCTCGGATCCGTCCATGCAATTAATGGAGTTTCTTCTATCATCTACATTTTCTTATTTACAGAACTCAAAAGTTTTTTAAAAAGTCAAGTTTCCTTCACACCGACTTAAGTCAAATTTTGACATTTTTTAAGTTTAATTAAGTCAAATTATGCGGCCATGTGGAAAATATCCTCCTTAATTCTTTTAACTTCTAGAGACCTTAATTGATAAATCACGAGAAGTCAACGTTAACAGGAAAAATATATAATATAATATTGTCAAGAAATTTAATGGAATTTATGTAGGGTAAGAAAAAAGAAATATAAAGTGCATTTGGATGAAGATGAAGAAGACTCGATATAATTTATCTTATTGTTTATTCTATTTTTGACATTTAGTCTCACTTTAATTATTACCATCTCAATTTTCTATCTATATATTCATTTGCTGTGATAGAAGGCAGCCATGAGCCAAGTGAGACGGACAAAAATAGTGGAAGTTCAACAAGAGTATGAATTTGGCAACAATTCCAAAGTTTGGGTTAATTTAGGATCTCCTCTATACTTTGAAGTTTTATTTTTTCTTTAATTTTTTACACATGTTTTCTTTGGAAAACAAATCTATTTGAGATATTCTCACATACACTAGTCAAATAAACAATTGGTCACGACTCACAACATTCTTTCCCATATGTATAAAAAAAAAAAACACTTGATCACAACCTTTTAGAAAGGTTTGATTTTATACAAAGTGTCTCTACAAATTTGTTAACTACATATGCACTTGATACTAAACCTTCATTATTAATTTAGTACATCTAGATATTATAAAGGAAAAAAAATACATTTAGATATAAAAAAATTATATTATAAGTAACACAGGAAGTAATTATTTTCATTTCTTATTTATTTTTATAAATATCTCAAAAATACATTCCAAAATAAAATAATTAGATAACATATTTTTTTTATAGCATTTCATGTTTAAAATTGACTAAACATTTCATTTAGTTAGCACGATGTATAATCACATTAATGAGTTAATCTTGCACGTTTGACGAACCTTTTGTAACAAAAATATAAAAATTATAAAAAAATTAGAGGGTTTAAGATATTTTGTGCTAGTAATATACATATAGACAAATATTAAAAATTATGAATAATTATTAAAAAAAATATAAGAAAATGTTTCTTTTTACATTCAGAGGAATAATCGTCCACTAAAAAGTGAAGACCAAAAGAGTAAATATCAAAATATATCCCATTTATAATATATATAGATTATTATACTTTCAATTTATATAACGAGAGAAAACTTATATGGTTGAGAAAAAATGAAAAGATGAATTTAAAAAGTTAGATTTTGTTTATTTGTGAAAAGGAAATTTCTCTGTCCCGCCTTAGTGATGACGAGAATGGACAACACAACGCGTAGCGGAAGTCGTTGCTGAGGAGTTGAAAACCAAACACAAAGTAACCTCGTTGGTTACGAAATTTCAAACGGAACCATGTCCACTAGATTTCGGTAACCCTCTTTGTTTCCAATATGATTCATGTCATGTTTTATGCAGCCAGCAAAAGCATTCATTCTCATGCCACATGTTCCCTTCCTTTTTATAGTTTAGAAAGAATAGTTACTGTAAATTGAAAACTACAATAACTTACAGATATGTTTACGCGCAGCGGATCACAAGAACACAAACGTGGTTCTTCTTCCAGAACCAGTACTTCACACGTTCCCCCTGCCCAAACTTCTCGACTTGTTGATATTTTGAAGGATAAAAGGTCTTCAACACCATGTTTGATTTCTTCTGCTTTTCAAATTTTAATTTTGGCTATGTAACAGTGCATTGAACTTCATATTGCAGTCTTTAGATAAGAGTTTGATCTTTTTAAATAAGAGCTAGTAGACATGAAGTTTCAAAGCAAAAGTTTTTACTATCAACTAATCACAAGTTATCTTTAGTATGACTTTCTACCAAGTTATTATAAAAATCTAATAAATTTATCCGCTGTTTGTGATTAGATGAGAGTGTAAAAAAATTTATATCATGGATGTTTAGATTATTTATTCTTTAAATAATAGCAATGTTAATGTTTCTTTTTTTCTTTTTATGATCTTGGCAGTGTCGATGAGTTGCAAAAGCTTTTATCTAACAAAGACGCATATCAGCAGTTTCTAAGTTCACTTGATGAGGTCAAGATTCAAAATAATGTAAGATGTTAAGGAGTTATGGAGATTATAATGCTGAGAATAGCTTGTGGCTCTGCATCCATTCTAGGGAAAGTTATATTTAGATGGTTGCGTTTATTTTGTCTGTGTTATTTATTAATTTCTGTGTTGCTGAGCAATGAATACTTGAGAGATTCGTTACTTCCATATAAGTGTTAAGACAGTGTTTGGTTGCTTGTCATATTTTGCCATGATCTTTGCAGTATATGAGTATGTATTACCTGGCGTCCCGTTGTTTGTAACGGACAGTGATTTTTGTGATCTCATTGTCTGTTGTGTTCAGTAGTAGTGTGTTTGGAATTCACAAACCATGGATGGAGTGGCTAATTGGCTATATAAGCTTATAACAACAGATTAAGATGGGGGATAGAGTGGCTATATATTTCTCTGTTTTGGTTAAATAATCGTTTTCCGTTGCCAATGTGTTTTTTGATTATTGAGAAAGTGAAAGTGTTAGCTTAATTAGGATAGCATCACCCTTAGGATAATGGAGCACAGTATCCCAACACACGATGCTTATCATAGGTCTGCCCATTGGTGTTCAATGTGGCTCCAAGAAACAGTAAAGACAGAAGTTTCACTGTTAGCATAAGCTTTTTGTGTTGAGGAAAATGGTTGAGCCTATAAACGGTTATCAAAGTAAGGTTGTGAGTTTATATCCCTCTTATTGCAGTGGGGGACATTGTTGGCCTAATTAGGCAAACATCATTTTTAAGATTGTTGGGTTTAATGTCCCAACCCGTAGTGCTTATATTGGGTGCAACACCTCAGTGCTTGATTAAGCTTTAAGAACTAACGAGGAAATAAAAACTGCGTCTCCATTAGCTACTTAAGCTATTAAAGTATAGAGAGATTTTCTGCTGGCTGTCATCTACTAGTATTTTAATTTGCATACTTGCAAATTGCAATAGTGAAAGTATCAATGTGAGCATTCTGCATTGATACTGCAATCCATGTATCCAAACAACACTCACAATGTAACGTAGTTAGTAGACTGGAACAAGGCGTTCCCAGATTGGAATAAGTCGTTCCAAACTACTAAAACAAGGGTGATTTAGTAGCCCAGAACAGGTCGTTCCCAAACTGGAACAGGCCGTTCCAAACTACTAAATAGGCCTATGAATCTTGGACTAGAACGGGCCGTTTCAAAGTGGTCATTGTGTGTTAAATTCAACTCCAGAATGGGCCATTCCGGTTTTAGAACAGGCCGTTCTAGACGTGCCAGAACGGGCCATTTCGGTTTCGAAACGGGTCATTCTGCATGTGAATTTTACAAATGATGAAGGAGCCCAGAACGGGTCGTTCTAGATTTGGAACGGGCCGTTCTGGCCAGTTCAGACTTCTATAAATAAAGGTTGTGCAGTT